GGGAAAACGGAAAAAAGCCGAGCCTGGAATCATAAATGAAAACAAATGGAGAACGAGTGAGGCTGCTGAAGAAAGCTCCGTGAAGGTCATGGAAAAGCCCTCGACCACTGTACCGGAACCAGCGCAACGGATCGCCGGTCGAATGCAGCGAAAGTGCCGGAACACGATCCAATGCGAGAATCAAGAAGACAGAAAAGAAGATTAACTCCGACACATGATATATCATATATTACATACATGATAGAGTCTCGAAAGTGGAAAATGCTCCACGGCGACAGCCTTTCTCTGCTTTTGTTCGTTTTATGCATTAAATATCAGATACTGAAGGTGGAAATTCCCACCGATCAGGGAACGCTTATAACGAATCATTTATTATTTGTGGATGATCTTAAGCTCCTTGATACAAATAAGAATATCATGAAAACAATGCCGAAGAAATCCAGAAGTTCTTTGAATTGATAGGGTTTGAGTGAATACAGCAAAGTTAACCACTAATACCGAGATATAGCTGCGCTTTTAGAAGGAACTTAAGGGAATCAATACCTTGGAATAGTAGAAGAGAGGCTTAGTGCTCCGACCCAATAAAGCCACAATAATGTACGAGCAGAGATTTTGGTGAGAATTGAGCGACTAGCCAGAACTGCACTAAATAGCAAGAACTTTATCAAGCCATTAAACGAGCAAGCCAAAGGTTCAATAAACTACTTACCGGGGAGCTCAAATTAAAACCAATAGATTTTCAAGCAATTTTCCACAATATCAAGCAGTTACTAAATAGGTACCGAATTCATAGTCAACTTGCATGTTTAGAGAGAATTCATCTGCTAAGGGATGAGCTAGGACGTCGATTTCACAGCACTGAACAAAGGAGTGTGCCTTTGCTTCTGCAGCTACATGATGATCATGTAGATATCGTGCAATTTCGAAGCAGGAGATGAATGGCTCATAACACGTACTTAGCGATTACTGCACCCTATCTAATGACTAGATACAACCTCGTGGAAAGAAACAAACCTTAAAAAAGTATTAGCAGCCTAGAAAGCGCCCTTGTATAGCGGTATAGAAAACAAAATCCAACATGCAAAGCTAAACAAGATGCGAAATAATAAGCTCTTTTCAGTGGCAGGTTTATCACTGTGGCAGCAGTACGGAAACATTGAGTCACGAGGCGAGACCTCGATACTGCCACCTCCAGAATTAAAAAATGTTTGGAGCTGAGAAAGAATAGTGAAGATAACGAACGATCTGGCAATGCAGTGCGAAAAATACTATATCATGACTATTAATGAGGCCTTGAAACACATTCACTATCTATAATGGAAAAGATAGTCATAAACAGGCGAGCTTCCAGAGTTTTACTTCTTACATTCGTTTGAAAAAGCTAAATATTTTGCATTACCAAAGATATTATAAAACATAACTTACCAAGAACTTTTCTTCTTCCCACAGTGATCATTTCCACGATTAAAAACAGATGGATCAAGCGATACAAGGCTGCCGAAACGAAAAGAACCCGTGCTTCAAAAATCATCAATTTTTATAGGCGAAACTCTTGGAGGTAGGTCATTAGTAACATAAATTCGTTATCACTAGTAACGGAAATTTTTTGTCTCTTATCACTAGCAGCAGAATTTTTTTGTCCATTGTTATCTTTCAGTAGTAGAAATTTTTAATTAGAAGACCTAGATAGATAGTACGAAAGTAGGTCTGCCAAAAAGCCTACATGTCCGCTAAAACAACAGTTAAAATAAATAATCTGAAAAGCGCAAATGATGACAAGTTATCGCTTGCCATGAAACCCACCTCCACCTAGCCAAAGCCATGTTACTTTTATTTCTTACATTCGCTGAAATTTACAAAAAAAGGCCAAATTATATCAACGAAAGCCTATAACTACTAATAAGTTCCAAAATTATACTTTTCTGTATTTGTTTGCGAACTCGAGTAAATTTCAACACATCCTGTTACTGTTGTTGTACGAGAACGACGCTTCTTAGCACTCCCTTAAAAATTCTCCCAGTCATTTTTTTGAAAATCTTGACACACCAACTATAAATAAAACATAACGAAAAATTTAACCGCAATTAACCAATAATTTTCAATCACTCACTGTACCATTACAGAGAATGTTAATGTGCAATCTTGATCACAAAGGAATGTTTGTCAGTGTCAATTAATTGTGCAAAATAAAATATACTAGTTTTTCTTCTTTTTTCAGTTCTCATGTTTAAGACTTGATTAATAAATACCTCAAATGTTCACAGACCGCAATTTCTTTTACATAATTATATAACAGATGAATAGAAGAAGCAGGAAATTTTGGAATGATTACTTCAAAACATACTATAATCAGCATAATTAAGACTCTCTTCCCAGCGATTCTCAAGACATTGTCCTGACGGATCAACTTCAAACTGTAATAATTTGACACCATAAATGAAACTCAATTAAAAATTTAATTACAATGCTAACTACTTTTGGTTAATACTCAAAGTCTCTAGAGCTTCAAAGTTAATTTTTCAAATAAACATTAAGAATAAACTTACTGCGTTATTTCGTGACACACAAGTGGTCTTGGTCTTTGGGAAAGTTGCTAATTCTGTGCCACAAGTTAAACCTGCTTGACCATGGTCATCAGATAACGAACTCGACTGAGGTAACGGCGATAATGCAAAACCACTGCTTGACTGCGAAGCTTTTCCAAAAATGTAAGGTGCCGCACTAGTTATCTGCCGTAAATGATCAAGCATTTCACGCTAAAAATCATGCAGTTTTCAGATATTAAAATAATCAAAATATTGAAGAAACTCCAAATTTTGTTTCTATACGAAATTATCGCGATTAGTGATCCAGAAAATTTATTTAGGGTAAAAACAAAATGTGCTAATTTCATTACGTTTACGTGTGTTATAGAATAAATGTGTTAAAAAAAATCCTTCAAGCACGCTGTTTTCAATGAATTATTTGCTAGAAAAAGCCGAATAGATCTTTGCTTTTCAGTAAAAATATACTCAAATTACATTGAACTCGATACTAAATAGGGGGTCAACATCACCTGTCTACTTTCCATCATCTCCAAACGACGATCTAAATCACGTATCGTCGTCTTAATAACAGATTCTCTGCTACAGAGATCATTCAATCGAGCAAGCATAAGATCCGTTCTGCAATGTGATTACGATAAAGTGTTGGAACAAATAAGAAAAAAGTGATTTCATAAAAATTTAGGAGAGCTTGAAAGACTGTGAAAAAATTTTTCTCTTTCAACGGTTAAAGAAATATTAAATCAAAAATTAACAAAGCAAAGCAAAACTTTTAGCTGGAGAAGGTGGAACAGAAAAGATAAAATCATTCAGGATACCTAAGTAATTTAACAATGCAATTATGCAAATATTAATAAATTAGATTATTAAAAACCTCCGAGACAACTATACAGAATTCTGAAACTCCAAATACTGCTTTAAGGTATGTAGAAACATTAATTTTCCAAGAAAGACTGAAAAAGGCAAAAATCAATAGCTGAATAAACAGAAATTAAGCTCAGTAGTAATGTAACCTTTCAGCGGTTCGATGAATTCTTTCTTCTGTGGATGTATTTTTTTTATATTCCTTTTCACGAGCTAAATCTTCCATGCATTCTTCTTCAAAATCATGTATTTTTTCCACTTGATCGGCATTCAAGAATAATTCTGAGAAGTACGACTAATTAGATGGAATGAAAAAGTAGTCGAAAGATAAAAGTTATGTACATGCTTCCCTGATGCAATATATATGAAACGCATTAGATGCTGTAAAGTTAAAAGTCCTTATAATTCCTGACGGAAAAAGAAACTGCTTCACGTCTTTGTTCATATATGAAGTTTCTAAACGATTGCTAAATTTCAAGTAAAACTCACTTAAAGCGAAATCGAACAATTTTGAGTTGCTTTTCGTCTTAACTTCGGGATTAAATTTACATGCTCTACAATATCTGATCATTACATAACAAACATGTCATTATTAATTATATCATTATATAAAAAATATGTAGAAAATAAATACTGACAGATGCAAAATATTTTTAAAATCTGCATGAATATTTCTGACCTTTTGAGTCCAATACATTTAATTATCATCCACAAATGATAAAGCGGCGTAAATGGGGGAGGCAGAAAAGGAGTGCTTTCGTACTCCATCACTTGCCGGTAACGTTGAAAAAGCCAAATTTCCTTAGAAACACGATCTGTATTTTCAAAAATGTTGCTGAAAAAAAGGAAAATCACTTTACAAAGATTTAAATTACACTCACTGATTCTCAACAGCAAAATCAAAAATTAGAACTAATAAACTCATCTTGCAAAACTATACATTCTATTGAGTAATTTTACAAAATGCTATTTTCTTTATACTCCTTTCATTTTATTAAGCATATAATGTACAAACAAACTTGAAGATTGCCAAAAGCATGCTCATCAATAAAATATTTGCTATGAGTAAAAATCCTGTCATCAGTAGCGGAGGAACCCAATAACCATGAGGACATGTCGCATCTGAAATATTTATGAATTTTAATAGACCGAATAAAAGAAATCAAATTACTTTCTGTAAAATCCTTACCAAAATCTGTTCCATTATAAAGATCATCAATAGCAACACCTTTCTCAACATGACTATCCCATGCTGAAATGCTTTGCCTTAAAAAAGCCTTATAATTTACAAAACACAAGAAGTCACACACTTATAAAAATGAATAGAGAGGCGTACATAAACTTGTCGTTTAGCAAGTTTATAAGCATGCTTATCGATAGAAATGTTAAAATTCCAACAACAATAAATGATACATGGATAATATTCGAAAACAATTGAAACTTTAAAAAACCTCCATCTCCACATGTATCAATTTCGCCAGCATAAACCTCTCCATATAACATGAAATACGGTTTATAAAAAATATTCCGCAACAATAACCAATGCCAGTTTTCATTAGGATATGTGATTGCCTGTCGAGCTAAACCAAATGCTAACATTGACACAAAAAGTAATACAATGATATACAGCATGTTCTGGATCTGAAAACTTCCATAAGTAATTAATTTTTCTACAATCTTTATCACTATTCAGTCTATGGCTCTTGATAATCAGCCAAACTGAGAAATGTGTTGTTAATGATAATAAATTTTTTTTTGCTAAATTCTACATTTTATGAATGAATGTTATGTAATAAAATACTTATGTGTATCAACTGAAAAGGTGAAATCCAAATTTTAATCAATTAACAAGATGTTTGCCCTCAAAAATCTTCTACTAGTAATACCGAAGAATGCAAATTTAACGCAACCAAGCTCGAACCACTGTTTCTTATGTCTAAGAAAAAATAACGTTAGATAAGCAGTACAAAAAAAAGAAATTGCAAAAAAGTATAGAAAACACAAAATTTACCATTTTTCCAGCCATAGTAATATAAGGTCCCATTCGAGGATGGATACTGACAAAATCTAACAATTTAACTGACCACAACATTGAATTACATGCCAACACAACCCTTCCGATTGCCCTAAACAAACCCAATTTTTAAAGAGAAATAAAAACAAAAAGACATTAGATTAGACAGATTGCATAAGACATGAGGCATACCGCACTGATCTGTGTGCTGTATCTAATCTTAATCCAAATCCAATAAAATACGTCACAAGAGCTAAAGTTGTTACTGAATTCCAGATGTTGATGAAAAAATATTTCGCTTTCTGAGAGAGCGATTCTGGTTCAGACATTAAAAACTGAAATAAAACTTTAGAACTTTTTTAAATTTCTGGCATTGAAAATACGAGTTTACGATACTTTGATGATGTAAAATTTAGCGATAATATCGTTAAAAAAGCTAATTAAATTTTATACAAAAATTAAACCTCATAATATAAGCCGCTGCACGATAAGCCAAAACAACAAAACTTTTATAACGGAATATCAAAAGGAAGACAAAACTCAAAAAGTTAAGAATGGTCATATGAAAAAAATTTTTTAAAAGCAATTTTTATTTTCTAATAGGTGGTAATTATTATTTGAATAGTTCTCAATAAAAGAGAATAATTATTTTTTTGCTAAAAAATTGGACTGACTTTACGCAAATGCTCAAGACCAAATGCAGCAACATAAGCGAACACAAGCCATTCCAACCAAGTTGCTCTAATCGGTGTCTTGATTAGCAATGTGTAAGCAAAAGCACATAAAAAAACACAGAAAGTTAATGTCCATGCCCAAAACGTCGTTATCGGAGCCACATAAAATTCATACAACTTACGTCTGAATTTGATTGGCCTCTGAAAAATTGCAAATCTGAAGGAAAAAACTGGAGTAATTCGCTAACATGAAGTAATAAACATAAACCCAAAAAAACCGAGAAAGAGTGATTTATCCTTACTAATTGAAACCTTCGAAAATCGTATTTTATGAACCTTCTATGAAAAACAAGAAAATAGTCCGAAGGAATCTAAGTTAAAAACAAAAGTATGCATTTATAATGATTATTTTTCGATAAAATTTCATTATATAATAATTGTTACAGAGCAAAATGAGTGCACTGAACAAGGTAGTTAAGCAAAACAAAATATTTCATAGTTACCCACTACAGTAACAATTTTCTTGATTTTAAGAATTACTAAATCAATTCGAAATTTTTGGACGGAAACATTATTCTCGAACAGTTATTCGTAAAACAGAGATAATTAAATCAAAATTTAAAAGAAATAAATCAATATTTAATCACTAACCATACGAGGAACAGTTTGTTCAGCAACTGTAGGTACTTTGGCGAATGAAGGTTTCGTAAGCTTTTTACTATCAGATACTTCGAATTTGCGTTGGGACCCTTTGCCTTTCATTGCACCGCAAACACAGTTTGTTAATGAAGAGCAGTTATCGCGGTGGGAAACACGTTCTTCTAAATTTAGAATGAATTAATTAATAAGATTCGACTGCTCGAACAACTTTATTTAATAAAAAACTACTCAAATAATCATAAGTAGATGTTGTGAAAAATATGAGAAAAAAACAATGTTCAACATTTTAGAATAAAAACTACTGCCAACTGAAACTAAACGCAAAATGACAGAGAATTACTACTTTTATTGGTGGATATCTGCCTCGGTGGACTTTTAAGTTTCAGGTCAGGCTGTGATCGATGACTGTTTGCTTGACTTACAGCTGATGTAGAACAAGGTAATGTAATTTCTGCAGGATGACTGAAAGGTGCTGCTGAAATTAAATGAAAATTTTATAGAATTGAAGGATTTTCAGATTCGACATGATAAACAATTATTCTGCACCAATTAGTCACAGCAAGAGATGTAACTGGACAGCATACAAGATTTATCAGCGTACATATGACAAAGTCATAAAAACTTTTAAAATAATCGAGCATGAGTCATTCTGATTTTAGCTAATAAATAGATAAGTAAGAAATTTACTGTGTTTTTCAAATTATAGTAATCATAGTTCAAAGCAATTAATTCCTTAAATTGTCATTTAGTATGAATACTTTTGTACAGTTACATTAATGCTTCTTTCCCGGATACACTGCAACAGAAAAACAATGAAAAGATCGAAAAAAATCAAGTGATTAATTTCTCCAAAATGCACTTTTTCAAAAAAAATTAATGCCAGCGCATGTATTCCATAAGATGCAAAGAGCAGCGCGAATGCAGAAAAAAATAAAATGAATATTATGCAGCGACGTACCTAAACCATTCATGACAGTAAGCGTACTGACATTTGCTACTTCTGTAATTTTATAAGGTGTTGATATATTTTCACTATTGTGAATACAATTGCTGTCTCTAGCATAAGATCGAATACGTTTCCTTTTGCCCTAAAATAAATAAAACACCACATAGGAAGCCATGCATAGTAATTTCCAATAAAAACATTTATTTGTATATTTAAACAATACAGAAATAAATTCGCTTAAATCAATTATCGCTATTTATCATATAATACAGCTAACAAGTTAAGTATCAAAAACATAAAAGTCGATCATAAATTATCTAATTAATGAGTAAGCATAATGATGTAGACATTAATAAAAGAACGCAAATCAACTCTGGAAGACTATTTATTAACTTTTCGTTACAAAAATTCTCAAGTTTTCCAATTTTTTCAATTCAGTAACTGCATCAACAAATGATGAAAAACTAAGATAAATAATGAATACTAAGTAAAATTTTTTTTAACACTACAGAATCTATCTAAAAATACATACCAAACTCACGGTAGGCAAGCCCATTGACTGCGTACTGCTTAGTGAATTTCGCCGCTTGTCTACATCATGCTCATTCTGAATGTGGAAGAAAATTTTAAAAAAATCATAAGCATATCAAATAAAATATGTTATACTTTTATCTTTTGCAAGAAAGCCATGATAAAAACACATCACACAACATAAATTTGCATGTCACAACATTAGTTAACTGAGATACTTACAAAAAATGAAAACATATATATAAACACAATTCAAAATAAAATTTTTCGATGTGCATAAAACTAAGATACATCTTGAAATTCGGCGTCTGAACTGAAATCAGAGTCTGACGAGGAATCATTCTCGGAGCTAGAACTAGAACTTGAGCTCTCATTAAGATCATTTTCATGTTCAGCGGCAGTCTGTGGTTGCAACAGTAATTCCTCGCGTGATTTAAATTCTAACAAGAAGATTGTTGGTGGGCAAAACAAACCAATTACCACTTTAAGATTAGAATGACTGAAAGTATTCAACGAAAATGCATCATATTTTACGATTGATGAAAACTATGATGAGCTACATATTAAGGTTCATTAAACTACTTCATACCTCAAAAATATGTAAAGTACATTAAAAGAGTGGAAAATAAATTGGACGCGGCATTCATTACGACATTTTATGAACCCACTAATAAATTTTTTGACTTAAGCTGTTACAATGAAAAATTACCTGCGCATCCTCAAACCACCATGCCACAAATCGGCTAATAGAATCTGACAACTGAAGTGAATTGAAGATAAAAAATTCACGAAAAACCTATTTTTTGAGAAAAATAATTTTAAAAACAATGACAATAGATGACTATGGATTTCTTTATTTTTAAATAAATGAATTTATTTATGAATATATATAAAATAGTAATAAAAATGAGAACCAAGTTCTGATTCCCTACCATGGATGGGCTAGAAACTGCTTATTATTGACCATTACAGCAAGAGAAAGGCATGTTTCGTTTCCCCAGTTAGCTAATTCGTAAGTGAGCAATTGTAATGTCTGAGCATCATCGAGATTATAACAATGTTCCAGTAATGCCAATGAAAGATTTCGAAAGTCTCTTGAAAATGAAAAAATTAGTTTATAGAAAAAGAAAAATTAACGATCAATCAAAATTGGAGGCATAAAAATCTACTACATCTATTTCAGACACTACTGACTTACAAAAAAAATTACTGACTAGCCGAACATTTCATGAAGTACCACTTTTTTATACAGTAAATTACAGTCCTCGAATAAGTAAGGAATAACTGTTGGTTGATACAGTAATAATAGTACTTCTGAACTGGAAATTCCAGAAATGTCACTCAAAGATATATATTTTGTTATCATACAGATCTATTTTCAATCCTCAAATAGTTACTTCGAAATAGCTTTAACCTGATCTTACTACTCAATAAAATTTTATAAATTAGACTACAATTTGTGTATGCACGCACTCACTCAGCATAATTTTTCAGTTCTTCACAAATCTCAACTTCCAAATAATCTTCAGCAGCTTCTTTCGCCAAGCTTTTATACAATCGGCATGCCACCAAAGCCTACAAAAGACAACATGAAATTCCACATCAACAACTCATTCATTACTCACGGTAACTTGAAAATATAAGACACAATAAATGAACTTCAGGTACTGAAAGAAATGACGAAAAATGCTCGTGTTGAAAATCCAGATATCAAGCAATTTAGGGACACACTCATAAGAGTCATTCCGTTCACTAAAATGCCTTCTTTTCGAACTTTATTTTTTTATACACAAATGACGCCAAAAAAAGTAATATAGCAATAAATAACAAAAGCAACCTTGGCCATAGCTTCTTCTCCATGTTGCCACATGCACAAAGCCATTTCTTGCCGTTTGGTCAATACAGCCCATATTAAAAGCTCGCTGAATGGATATTTAAAGCCATTTCCTACTTTTGTTGTATCCGAACATAAGGACTCCAAACCTGCTGGACGACAGAAATAAATCTCACATAGTAATACCTTTCTAGAAACATAGTAATTGCAAAAACTACACGAACTCATGCTAATAGTTTTAAGCTTCTCCAAATTTTTACCACATTCAATGTCGATGACATTTTGCTTTACTGCTCCCAACTTTGGATGTGCCATCAATCCAAAATTACTACCCTGATTCTGAAATTTATGGTCCAAACCATACGCAAAACGAAGTATTTAAATTCATTTCTATATCAAACTAATGAAAACTATTTTTATCTACAGAGTTCAGTGAGATATGAGAAAAGACTACAAATTTTTCAAAAATCAAGAATTAAAAGCATGATTTAGAATTAAAAGTATAATGTACTGATTTATCAAAGCATACATCTCGCCTGGAGCGCCATAATATGTGATGACTCAGTGCGCGATTTCCTGAATATGAAGCTAAAACTGCATCAAGAGCAAGATTATCAGAAGTCTGTGGTGATGGAATGAAACCATCAGAAGTAAAAGAGTTGCGAACACTACCTTCGTTTCGTCTCTGAATTGACATAAATGAAAGCTCTAATATATTGATCTAAACGAAATAAAAGCATAATTGTTAGTATTGATTATCATGATGAAAACTGCGAAGATTTGGAGACGAACTTGCAATTTACTGCTATAAATGGCATATTTTGAGCGGAATGATTCCGATGTATAAGAAGATTTGTAAGCACTGCCCATGAGCTTTTCAATAGCAAGACCGATATGAGGCAGCTGATATCGATAGCCCTCACGGATTTTGACTACATCTCGGACAATATAATATAAAGTATTTGGTGGTCCTTTATCCTAAAATTATGATGCTGGAATACCAGTATTGAATTAACTCGGTTGTGTACTGAAAATTAATTTGAAAAACAAGCTCTCAAGAGACACAATGGAGGATGAAAAATTGTAATCTATGAAGGCAAAATATTCATAACAATTTAAATCACCAATTTTTTATGATTTCATGCTGCAAGTTCAAAACAGTATGAGATTAGAAAAGAATGTACTAGACATATATATTCACCGTATTGTATAATTCTTCCAATCGCCCTACCGTCAAAAAATTACTCATACTGACGCCATTTTCAAGTAATAGACGAACGAAATCAACTCGGTCGTTTATTAAAGCCTCCATCATTGCGTGGTCAAGTGCTTCTTTTGGCCAGTCCTATAAACTCCAATAAGAGTAGCAAACTTCGTACTTGAAGTTTTCGATCACAATCAAAAATTAATATGAACTGTTGATTTTAAATAGTTTTTTTTACTGCTGATTTTAAACTATAGCTACAAAAACTAATTAAAAGCTTGAGTGGGGAAAAAAAACCTTTTTCAAAAAATAACTCGTATATAACTGTAGCAGATTGGCATATAAAAATTTTGAACCATTAAAAAACGAAAAAAATTACATAAAAACACATAATCAGGAGGTTTAATTGTAGTTTTTTGTGTTTATTATCATATTATTCATAAAGTTCACCTGTCCAAGCACAAATATATCTGATCGTGCAATATCAACACGATTCCACGCTAATGCGAGAGCAAGCTGATCTGATGGAGATAAATTCTGCTCTTTTAATAAAGCTGTCAATATGGCATGATCGACATCCTGTTTCTGGTCTTCACCCAGACGAAAAATTGCAATCTATGAAGGCAAAAATTAGAAAGTACTACTACTAAATGCTCTCTGACATTCTTGTGTACCTGAGATTAAAAAAATTAATACCTCGCCAATTTTAGCATATTGAGGTGTTTTACTAAAATAATTTAAAGTTACTGATTATAATTCAAAGCAAATTGGATGACCACCGCGAATTTTGAAATAACTATGGTTTTAAAATTTTAAATTAGCTCCGACTAGAAGATAACTAACTAGATGTTTTTGACGAACACACATCATCAACTGTTCCAAAAGTTTCTCTGCTGCCTTAATATCATAACCAAATACGTATTGTACTAGACTGAGCAACTGAGGCCTGACACCTTCGGGTAACTGACTAAAAATAAAATTGGATAAAAGAATAATAAAGTTCCTTGTGTAACAGAGTATTCGGTTAAGTACTGAGTTAATAGTACAATCCAAACAACACCCTATTTATACCCAGTGTTTCTAAAAATTAAACTTCCATTTTTTTGAAGTTCAAATGATACTAATCACGAGCAGTTCACATCAATAATTGCTAATCTAAAATAATGTTTTAAATCCAAATCTTAATATGTCACGGCAGTGCAGTGTGAAAAAAAATATTTAATCGGTCCACTTTTCTTTCTCAAAATTTCACGAACACTGTAAATTACCCACAATAGTCTTTACTTCGAATAACAGTCAGTAACTTTACAGTAGCTGTTTCAATAAAACAATAATAACAAAGTCATCTCAAAATATCAAATTTATAGAATCTTACATTTAAAACACTATTATATGGGGATAATTCAATGATATGAACTCTTCTATCCGCAAATTTTATGAATATATTGTATGAACCTTTCCTTTCTTGAAATTTCATGAACACTCACCCGTCATCTTGGACGTACTGATGTGCAAATGCTAAAAGATCAGCTGCCCGACCACTTCCATCACAAACAACAACTGGGACACGTGGAGACCTAGAAGTAACTTTATACTAACATGTGTTTCCATGTCATCACATTTCACAATGGCCTCAATGATTGATATTTACATTTCAAAAATGGTGTGATGCTGGAAAAATAAATCTGATGATTCCTGCAAACTTCATCTCATTATAACTAAAAAAATGCAATCAGTCGGTATTTTCAACAGTTAACGTCACATAAGTTAGTGACTTGAAGTTTTACTTACATGCAAACGCAATCATGCACTGCCTTAATTGTACACGTACCGCCCTCCAAAACAACACAAACGACTGGAACGCTACGTGTTCCGTTACCAAGTTTTCGTTTTTCGGAAATATATGATTCCAGTCTTTTGCGAAGTATGACATCAGCACCATACCTTAAAACAATGTGCTTTCGATAAATCTTTTTTCAAGTGCAATGAAAACGACAATGAAAACTGATAACAATTATCAGAATTATAATTATTAATTACTGTCAGCTAATCACTGCCAATCCAGATGTAGACATTATGAATTTTTAATGCACTTTTTTTATACTACTAATATTTTTTTGACGGCAGATTTGGAACGATTCTTTAAAAACCTGAAGTGAAAGAAATCTACCTTCCTATAGTACCATTATCGACAAGTAAAAAATAAGAATGTCGATTATTCAACACAGCAAATCGCCCTTTGGGAGAAAAGGAATGTGGATGATATGGCACAACTGCATCCTAAAATAAAATTATTTCTAAGTAAAGCAATCCATTATTCTCGAAAATATAAGGCTTATAACTAAACTCAAACAAGGCAAATAGAGATTTGAATAAATATGAGACAGCAATATTCAAATTCTTGGGGCTTACTTGTCCCAAAAGACTATCTCGCTTTTTGAGTAATCCCCATGGAGCAATGCCAATAGTTACTATTCTAGAACGAACGCGTGATGCGGTACCTGAACCATCAACTGCTGCCGCCACCTGACGAACAACACCTGCATTAAGACCTGAAAATCGAATATAGCCTCAAATAGCAATCAACACTTATAGAATATTCAAACAAAACACAGTTTTGTACCTGCAGTAATGATCCATGCACCAGTCGTTTTTGCTGCTTTTAGTAAACCTTTTCGAAATACACGAGCCAATTTGGGTTGTAAACTGTAACAAAAATTATGTAGCTGAAATTCATCAAAATCTTTCCCTATAAATTTGATGATTTTTAAAGAACATTTTATTAAATACTAAGCCTAAAAAACTTATTCAAAATCTATGCAACATCTAATGGTTAAATTGAATGTTTCTTGAATATTCATCAGAATTTGATAAATGCAATAATTATAAATATTACTCAAAATCAGACATGCCACCATGAACTGTTATAATTAATTTTGGAGGAGGAACATTCCATACTGCTTCAAATAAATTCATTATGTCATCAGGATTTGATTCAACAGTCAGTCTCAAATATTGTGCTTTATATGGATGAGGTCCACCTGAAATACCTTTATTTAGTCTCTTAACATTGTTCTCTTGCTAATATCGTGTGTCTTAATAATTCAATATGTCAACAATTGATTTTTACAAAAAATGAAATGCATTCCAAAGCAATTTTCCTCCTCGCTTCCATCATTTTAGAAATTATTTTTGATGCCATATATTCTATTTCACAATCAAAGTACTTCTTTAAAAAAACTCAGTTTACATTTTAATCATGAATAGTCTAATGTGAAAATCAACCTTGAAATTCGATAGTTCCATAAGCATCCGTTGGAAACAGAGATGTGTGCTTTCTTATTGTCCATTTTTCACTTGCTCTAGAAGATCGCCTCTAAAAATTTTGCTAAAACTTACTGAGAAATTAATAATTTCAAAATAAAATTTACCAACAGAAACGAACGACTAAAGAAATATATTTTCGAGAATTTGTTCAGTCATAAAAAGAAAATATCGTTTTTTCTCCTGCCAAAAGTAATTCTAAATAACCTCGATTTTTATAGAAAATAAGCAAATGAATGACATAACAACACGTCAACGGAAATCTCATCGTGAATGATGCGCCACTGAACGAAGAAAATGACCTAAAGTAACAAGTACCTGAAGTACATACCGGTAATCCAACCTCGCTTTCACAACCAGTCATCTCTAGTTCAACTTCTTCGTCACTTCGAGTCATGTTTTGCACCTCTTCAGAAGTTAGGTTATTACATGATGCTACATACTGTCCATTAGAGAGGTGATACAAAGTATGATTACGTTTTAGTCTTCCACATCCACATCTGTAAATTAAATTTCACGAGACAAAAACAAGCTGCAAAATTATATATGACAATTGCAAGCAAGAAAGATTGGTTTTACTTATCAGGATATCGAGTGCTGGGGATAAATTTGATGCATTCTCGTTTTTTAAACGTTTGCTCAATCCAACTATTTTGCACCAGTGACTGCAAATAAAGAAAAATAAACCTGATATCAAATAAATCTTTTCCGGGTGAGATGCTTCTTTAACGAAATTTTGATTAAAAAATATGCAACGAAAGTTAAGACTTTATTCAAAAAACTATTTTTCTTAATACAATTGGGTTTAATTACATTTTCATTAGCTATAACATCTTACACTTTA